AAAAAGCGGCATTTTAGGACGTGGTTCCATAGCGTAGCGGGGAGCACACCTGCTTTACACGCAGAAGGTCCTGGGTTCGCGCCCCAGTGGAGCCACGGTCCGTGGTCTGCGGCCACGCCACCCTGAACAAGCCCGATGTCTGGTCTCGGAAGCTAAGCAGGGTCGGGCCTGGTTAGTACTCGGATGGGAGACCACCTAGGAAGACCAGGTGCTGTAGGCATAAAACTAAGCATAAAAAATAAAAAATAAGGGATTATAAGCTGACAAGGTCCTTGCAGTCTGTGAGGTCAATCAAGGGTTGCCTTGCCTAAAAAAATAATAATAATAAAAAATAATAAAAATCAAGACAGAAAACAATAGAGAAAATCAGTGGAACACAAAGCTGGTTCTTCGAAAAGAGCAATAAAATTGATAAACCTCTAGCAAGACTAACAAAAAAGAAAAAAGAAAAAAATAACATCAAGTACTGATGTCATTATAGACCCTGCAGACATCAAAAGGATAATAAGGAAATTCTATGAATAACTCAACATGTATCTGTTTGGCGACTTAGATAAAATAGACCAATTCCTTAAAAAATGCAGACTCCACAACTTGTGTATAAAATAAATGATTTAAATAGCCCTACAACTATGTAGTTCGTAACTTTAAAACTCCCCCAAAAGAAATCTCCATACCCAGATGGTTTCACTTGAGAATTCTAACAAATGTTTAAAGAAGACAGCATCGGCTCTACACAATTTCTTCCAGAGCATAGAAGACAAGAGAAAACTTTACAATTCACTTTCCAACTCAGCTTTTGATGCCCTGATCTTAAAACCAGACTAAGACAATACAATAAAGAAAACTACAGATCGTATTCCTTATGAATATAGATGCCAAAATACTTAACAAAATATTAGCAAATAAAATTCAACCATATGTAAAAAAATCTCTCCATGACCAAGTGGAGTTTATTCCAAGAATGCAAGACTGTTTCAGTATTTGAAAATCAATCAGTGTATTCTGCTGCATTAAAAGGCTAAAGAATAAAAAGTATATGATCATATCAATTGATGAAGAAAAAGCATTTGATGAAATTTAATACCGATTCATGATAAAAAAAAAAAAATCTCAGTAAACAAAGAATGTATAGGAAGTTTCTCAGTTTGATAAAGAACATCTCTGAAAACCTACAGCTAACACCATATTTAATGGTGAAAGACTGAAGGCTTTTCCTTCAAGATCAGGAACAAGGCAAGGATGTCTGCTCTTTACTGTTCTTGTTCAACATAATACTGCAAGTTCTAGCCAGCACATAAGGAAAGAAAAGGAAATAAGAAGCTTACAAATTAGAAAGGAAAAATGTTTTTATTTGCAAATAACATGATTGTTTATACAGAAAATTTCCAGAAATCTATGGAAACACTTCCTAGAACTAATAAGAGAATTCAGCAAGGTCGCAGGAGACAAAATCAACATAAAAAAAATTTATCGTATTTCTATATAGTAGCAATGAACATGGAAACCAAAATTCAAAATGTAATACCCTTTACAATTACTGAAAAAATGAAATATTCAGTTACAGTAACAAAGCATGTCCAGTATTTATATGCTGAAAACTATAAAATGCTAATGAAAGAAATGACAGGAGATCTAAATAAATGGAGAGCTATACCAAGTTCAAGGATTGCATGTTCTCCCCAAATTGACCTATAGATTTAACACAAAATCCAGGAATTTTTATGGATACAAGATTATTTTAAAATTTAGGTGGAAAGGCAAAGGGACCAGAATAGCTAAAACAATTTTGAAAAAGAAGAATAAAGTTAGAAGAACCACTCTACTCAATTTCACAACTATTTTACTGCTATTATATAGATGCAGTAATCAAGACTTTGTGGCAGTAGAGAAGGGATGGGCACATAGATCAATGGAACAGAATAGAGAATCCAGAAATAGACCAACACATGTACAAACAGCTGATTTTTGACAAAGGTACAGTGGCAATTCAGTGGAGGAATAACAGCTTTTCAACACATGGTGCTAAAGCAATTAAGATTTCCACAGAGGAAAGAAAATGAACCTCACCTTATACAAAAATATGAACTCTAAATAAATCTAGATTTAAATTAAAAATGTAAAATTATAAAACTTTTAGAAGATAAAGTTTTAGAAAGTTTAAGAGACAAACTTTGGGATCTAGGGCTTGGTGAAGAGTTTTTAGACATGATATCAAAAATATGATCCATAAGAGAAGAAAATTAATAAATTAGACTTTATCAAAATTAAAAACTTTTGCTCTAGGAAAGACACTGTTAAGAAGATAAAAGGATAAGCAATGTACTGGGAGAAAATACTTATAAACCACATATCTGACAAAAGACTTACACTATAATATATGTATAATGATTCTCAGAATTCAAACAGTAAACAAACCAAATAATCCAATTACAAAATAGGCAAGGGACGTGAAAAGAAATTTCACTGAAGAAGATATATACCCATGAAAAGAAGTTCCACATCACTAGACATTAGGGAAGTGCAAATTAAGACCC